CTCCTTTGACTATATTCATTTGGTCCTCCAATTGTTTGATTTTTTCCTCCATCTTCCTCGCTTTTTCCTCTTCGTCCAAATCCGGTACATGGTAATAACCCTGATTGTTCCTAGGGTTAAATACAGAGGACAAGGGCTTTGTTTTTGCAGCAGATGAGTCCCCTCGAAGTTCTGGTAGGATTTCAGTGAGATAACCACTTGCGGGGTAGGTTGTATAGTTACCCCTTCCGGTGAACCTGCCCCGGGCGCACTGGTCTGTTGTAGGCCAACTAACTTGGCAACGATCTGATCAACCAAGGACTCTTAGTTCTTTGTGATTGTTTCCAGAGTATTTCAACTGTTCTGGTTTATCTTGTCTTCTAGCTCCTTCTGTAGTTTTAACATATTCTCCTCGATTTGTGTAATTCTGGCTTCCATCCTTTTCTTCTTCAAACGAGTGTTATGTGGATGGGTGTGTCCAATGCTTGAGGCGTGTATCCAGTATTTTTCCCTTTGATGAGACATGTTTTATGTTAGTTAATGTGAATGCAAAGAAAATAACAAAATGCAAAGAAAATAAGAAATGCAAAATGTCTAAATATATAATGCATGAAATGTCCGAGGTATTGATCCAAAAAATGTGCCTGTTATTCTGAATAACCCTTATTGGTGACAAAAGTGTTACGCCTGAAGAGATAAAAAACTCTTTTTGATGGTACAAATCCTGTACAGCTTCTGACAAGTTGATTCGTCTTTTTCACTAGTTGAATATCCTGTCGAACCGGCTCCTTTGGCTAAAATGTGCAAATAATAAGATGCTTGCCCCAAAAAAAAAGATCTCGAAGGACTGCATCTCCGACTTTCACTTTCTACCGAGCTTGTTTCTAACGAAAGTGTCATTGGAGCCCTCCATCGAGAGAAACTATCCGAAGCTTGCTTCTTGAATTCGTCAGTAATGGCATCCAGCTCAGCTAGGGTTTCACCATCTTGTTCTTGTAGTTTTCAAAAGGAGTGACCGGGTCAATGACCTTTTCCTCGTATTGCCCCTGCAACTTTGCCTTTGAGTATTCTTTGACCACGGTTGGACTTCTGAGTTTTTTTTATCTCTTTGTATTATAACCCCTTTGTCTGTTAATGCAGATTATTTACGTTTAACAAACACATTTTTGGTGGATCAACACCTCGTTTTAAATGATGCGAATGATGAGAACAAAATGAAAAAAAAAGAGTTAGTGAGGTAAATCAAAACAATAATAAAAATGAAAAATGCTACCCCACATGATATCTACCCCACATGCTTATTATTCCTACCCGGACATGATCTCTATCCCGCATGCTAATTTCAAACAAATCCTAACCGCATATTTGTCTAGTTCGCATGCTTTTGAGCAGAAATAAAGTAGGAAATAAAATAGCCTAAGGTTTGGAATGAGGTTTTGGGGTGGGCTCTAATTCCCTGCACTCTCCCGGTTTAGGTTCTAAAAAACGGTACTCGAGTTCTCCTTGCCGGTGCCCCCTTGGGCTTGCCAGACCCTTAGTCCTAAGCCCATTACAAGCTTATGTAGACTAAGTTAAACTCGAGAGGAAACATTCCCTTATGCCCATACGGAGAATAAATTCACACGAAGGCATAAGGTATATGAATCCCGAAGGTTACTTGCTAGGCCCATACGGTGAATAAATTCACACGAAGGCGTCGCTTTCTCCCCCACTTAAAAGGGTTCGGAGCTCGGGTATAGAGCCTGAGATGAAAACTTTGAAAAATCTGAAATCATTAAAAAATATTAATACAACTATTTATTTGAAAAATAATCAAAGGTAAATAACTAGAATCGAAAAAATAAATTTAAATTTAAATTTACCATTTTCGCATAAAAAGACAACCGAAAATTAATTTCGGCCTGACTCACTTACCTGTCCCCAGCGGAGTCGCCAATCTGTCGGAACCGTCTTTCGGTTGGGCCCCGGAATTGGGCTTCGACGTGAAAAATGGATTAGGAGTCGCCACCGACCACTTTAAAATGATGATGAATTTAGATGGGTCGGACACCATCTTACCTGATCTGCGTTGTACCAGAAATATGTTGGGCTCGGGAGTCGGTTACGGTCAAGGAAGGATTAGCACCCTTGAACCGCCCTTTCGGTACCAATTAATTTACCGATTGTCTTTAATGGCGAAAATTAAAAATTTAAATTGAAATTTAAAAACCCAATTCAAATTACTTACCTTTGATCGATTGAACGAAGACCCTTAAAAAGATGAAATTGTTAGATTTGTAAAGAAGTGCAAAATCAACTTAAGATGGAAAATGCATAAATACGAAATAAATAAACAACATAAAAAATAAAAAAATGATAAAGTAAAGAGAAATAAACAAAATAAATAGAATGATAAAATAAACAAAAATAAAACATACAAAAAAAATAATAAACAAAAACAAAATAAAAAAACAAAGGAAAAAGTAATGGAGTTAAAATAGACAAAAGTGAACAAAAATAAGATAAAAAGAAAAAAAAGTAAAGATAATATATATATATATTCTAAAAAAATAAGAAATGTATATAAAAATATAAAAAAACAAATAGAAAAACCAAAAAGAAAAATAGAAGAACAAATAATAAAAAAGCCAAAATGAAAAATAGTAAAATAAAAAAATAAAATAAAATATATACATAATAACAAAATTGAACCTTAAAAACGAGAAAAAATGATATATACATAACATTAATAAAACAAACAAAAGTAAAATAAAACAAAACAAAACAGAATATATAAAAAAAGGATCGAATTGAAGTAATCAGAAATCAGAGGGTTAATTTGCAAAAATGCCAAAAAGCATAAACGGTGACCAAATTGAATAACTCGAAAATCCAAAGGCCAAATTGCATGTAGTGACCGGATTGTAAAGCGATTCAAACTCTTAGGGATGGCGGAGAGAGTTTAACAATCCTATAATTGCACAATGGTCCCCCGTATATAAAAGGTCCAAAAGACCAATGTTCAGTTCATTTCTCTCATTCTCAGAAATCTCATCTCTCAAAACGAGAGAAACACTCTCAGGCTCTTCCTCGGCCAATGGTCGGCCGCAACCCGACACCCCGGCCGCTGCGAGCGGCGGCCGGACAAACTGAACCTTAGCAAAATACTCCCTTTAACCCCGTACACCCAAATCCGAGACCTAAAACACCAAAACTTATCCCTACCAGCGTGGATCTAGGTGTAAAGTTTCGATTTTTACCCTTAAACCGTCGGTGTCCCTTCGTTTACCCAAGTTCTTCGGCTTTGTGGTTGGTTCTTTGATATTTTATATGTGGCTGGGTCTTTTGTGTTTGTGTTGATGTGATATTTTTGGGGTTTTGCTTGCTTGTGTTGATGGCTTTTGTTTACTGTTGGTATCTTCGTTGGTTGTGTATTGTTGATATCTCTCGGGTTCTCTCTGTTCTCGAACGATGGTTTTGGTTTACTTGTGTGGTTTGGGTTATCTGTTGTACGTTGAAGTCGGGTACGGTTGATGCCCGATGATGGTGGTTTGGCTCTGTTTTGGCCAATGATCTCTATGTTTGGTTTCGTTTCTTGGTCGTCCTCCCCCTTTCTAGTGGCTTGGTGGGAGTATTTATACCCCACCGGTGGCCTGTTGGTTCCGATTGTCACGGTGCTCATCGTGGTTGGTTGGCCGGGGATTTCGGGATGGGTCAGTCCCGATCTCCTCGGCCGAAAATCTCGATGACCGGTGTGTGGTGGCGTTGAGGCTTTTGGTACCTTCCCAGATTTGATCTCGACCGTTGGATTGGGTCAGATCCAACGGTCTGGATCTGGCTGCGCATTTAAGGGTTAGACAAACCCTTGTTATTTTGCAATCCTGACCATTGATCCCATCTCGATCTGACGGTTATGATTCATGCGGCGCTGGACTTAATGATAGAACCCTAAACCTTTACTGGGTTGGTTCAGGCCCTAATCCTGGACTGATTGGACCTTAATGATAGACCTAAAAAATAAATAAATAAATAAACGAGTAAATAATAATAAACAAGAAATAAATAAAAAATAAAATACTATATAATATATTTAAAAAAATGTTTTAAAACTATATATTTCAAAATATTTTCAAAACCATATACTATAATTTTAAAAATGTTTTAAAACTCTATGTTATAATTTTCAAAAACGTTTTAAAACTATATGTTTCAAAAAAAAAATTTCAACTATATATATAAATTTCAAATGATTTTAAAACTATTATTATAAGTTTTCAAAATGGTTTTAAAAACTATATATATATGGTTCAAAAATATCTTCAAAACTATATAATATGTTTTCAAAAAAATGTTTTCAAAACTATAATATATATGTTTTCAAAAATGTTTTCAAAAATTATATATATATAAGTTTTCAAAATGATTTTAAAAATTATATATTATATATATTTTCTAAAAATGTTATTTTTAAAACTATATATTATATAGTTTTAAAAACTATTAAAAACTATATATTATATACGTAGTTTCAAAATATGTATATATATAAATATGTAGGTACATATAAAGGAGAAAAAAAAAATGTCGACGAAAATTAGTGTCTACAATCTAAAAGGATGCCATTTTGGTATTATCTTACGTGTTACAACGTGGTTAACTATTTAATAACAGAATGACCAAAACATTAACAATTCAAAGTTTTAGTGATTAAATTAAAAATATTTAAACTTCAATATCCAAAATAAGAGCTAAAAGAAATTTAATGATGAAATTTGTAATTTACTATTTTTTAAAAAATCTAGTTGAAGAGATCAAACTTCCTTTTTGTAAAACGACATTTTGTAATCAATTTCAATTTCTGATATAAAAACAACAATGATAATGCCAAAGAACTTTGCATAAACTTAAGTGCTTATCATTTTCGCAACTTTCTTCATTGACGAAATTTCATCAAGATATTACCTGACCATGGTGAGGCATGATTGGCCCACCATAATTATGAATTCCCCCATTCTCCATTAAAGCTCTTCAAGGTAAAAGGATCAATGCCCTGAGAATCTAATGTAAAGTCTAACAGCCACTCCTCCATGTCAATTCCATCTCAAAACACTTGTGTTCGAAACTTGATCAGTATTTAAGACCAAACCTGCAGGGCGAATCTTGTTGTCGGTTCCAACTAAAGATGCTGCCTTGGTCATTGCAGAACAAGTTGTGTTTTAATATTGCCTTCGTCCAAAACCGAAAACCTTTCTTTAATCTTGACTTCTTGTCTGCATACGCAAATAAGTTGGTGAGCATTTAATAATATATCCAGTCGACGAATTCAAGGTCATTTATTTCCTCAGCCCTTTGTTGTTTGCTCTAAACATGAGGCCAAAGATCTATCTTTTTGGAGACTCCATCACGGAGTCTTCCTTCAACGATGGCGGTTGGGGTGCTGCTCTTGCAAATCATTTCTCTCGCACGGTATATGGATATGTATATATATATATGGTTTTTGTTTTGACGGCGGTGTGAGTATTGGTTCTTTTTTTTTTTCTGTGATATTGAAGAGATTTTGTGGTTTAATATTTGCAGGTTGATGTGGTGCTGAGAGGGTACAGTGGGTACAATACGAGGTGGGCGTTTAAGGTGTTTGATAGGGTTTTTCCTGCAGCGGAAAGCGGTGGTTCTGAGGGTACAGCACAGCCGCTGGCGGTGACCGTGTTCTTTGGAGCTAATGATGCTTGCCTTCCCGATGGATACGCAGCTTTCCAACACGTGCCGGTTGATGAGTACAAGCAGAATCTCCACTCCATCGTCTCCTCTCTCAAGGTTCCTTCACCTCTTTAGTCTTTTTCTCAATAAAATCTCAGCAGTTTCATTCGGAATAATTAATCTCGCTAAATTTATAAAATAATAATTGCTTTTTAAAAAGGGAAAAAAATAGACAGATATATATAAATTGATAACTTCCGTAAAAATATATTATTAAAATATTATCAAAGATTTACCTATACTAACGTAAAATTAAATAATGAACTTTTTTACATCAAATACATAGTTAAATATTTTTATTTTACTTAAATTTGGCATGCATAATTTATATCAACATAACATGAAATTCAATAATTAAATTATTAAAATATTAATTATAATTTTTTATATAAATATATAAGGTTCACTTAATTTTATACTAATATAAAGAGATCTCTTCCTATATGTAATTCAGCCTCATATCTTTAGTTTTCTCAGAATGCCAACACACTTAGCAGTTTTTGATTTTCTTTTGGGTTATAGCTTGTACAATTTAGGGGATTATTGATTGAAAAACGTTTTTGTTTTATGTTAAAAAGATGAATTTATAAAATTTTAAAAGGATAAAAATATATTATTAACAATAAATATAAAAAAGTATTTAAATTATATAAAAAATTAAATTTTTTAAGAAAAGGACTGCTCTCGCCAATCCTTCAACCATCTCTACGCGACATTGCGGGGGTGGAATATAATTAGAGAAGAACAGTGAGGAGGATCTGATCCCATTTATTTGGTAGAAAGAAAGATGATTTTTTTTAATTAATCATGGTCAATTATAAGTTAATATCTGTTTAAAGATAACTCTTAATCATTTGACATTGAATGTTCACATCCTTATCATTCTTGGTGCTCGAACTCAGACCTCGAGAAATAACAATAATTCATTTACCATTAAGATAGCTCGGTTCGTGTGAGAGAGGAAAATGATTAAATGGTCAGCTTCAGTGGATTTTGATCGAAAAAGTGGGCCTATGAATATCCAAAAAAGCAAGAGATGAAGTGTGTGTGGCTAAGGCCCAGTTGTCGCTTTTTATTGTTTCCCCACTTGCCTTGGCTAATGCCTTTGTTTTAATCTTCTACCTATAGGATGATAGCTACCGAGTAGTATTCTTTAGGCCGAACTCATTGGGTTGGCGCCCCTTATCACAGGCAATCATGCTATTTGTTGCTTTCTTTTGGTTGGATGGGAAGCCCCTTGTATACATATATTTCTATAATCCCTATGTTGACTTCTGTGCCTCTCGAGAAACAAAGTTGGGACACTGATCTCAATATTATAATTTGTTTACTTGCTTGCCACCTTCAATGGTTATGAAAGAAGCTAGTTTACTTGTTTGCCAAGCATTATGAGGAAGACATAACAAGTGGTTGGATGGGAAGCCCTTGTATACATATATTTCTATAATCCCTATGTTGACTTCTGTGCCTCTCGAGAAACAAAGTTGGGACACTGATCTCAATATTATAATTTGTTTACTTGCTTGCCGTGGCCGAAGACTCTCATTCTTCTGATCACCCCTCCTCCAATTGATGAAGACGAACGCCTTAGGTATTGTTCAACATTTTCTATCCACTTTGCATTTCACATCTTACCATATGCTCAGTGCTTCTATACTTGATGCAGACATCCTTACGCCGAGAATCCATCCGGTTTGCCCGAGAGGACGAACGAAGCCGCCGGTGCTTTCGCCAATGCATGCGTGGAAGCTGCTGCAGAATGTGGGATACCAGTGGTCGATCTCTGGAACAGGATGCAGCAGTATCCTGACTGGCGCAAAGCTTTTCTTAGGTAGTATTCGTTCAACATCTTTTTTTTAACCACTGACCAAGCAAGCGCTCATGCACCGTAGATGCATGCTCGAACTCAGAACTTATAAGTGATGTTGAATATGATGTTGGTGGAAATGCAGTGATGGTTTGCACCTCACAGGGGAAGGCAACAAGGTTGTGTTTGAGGAGGTAACGAAGAAGCTGGATGAAGGGGGCATAAGCCTGGGAAAGCTGACGGTTGATCTCCCACTTTTAGCTGATATCGACCGATGTGATCCACTCAAGGCTTTCCACTAGAAGTTCAAATCTTAATAAATCACTTCTATTATTTTTTAGCAGATGGTCTCAAATTTCATTCTGATAAGATTGTAATAAATAAAGTCGCTCTCCATAAATCGAGTTGTGGAAATAATGAACGTGACATGTTTATGGACATTGCATGTAGAAACAGAACACTGCCCACTTTCCAGGAATCATAAAAACAAAACTAATATGACTAATCATATATCTTAACATGTTTTAAAAGTATCTACAACTCAACAATAAATAAATATATCCTTTTTCATTTGAAATCATCTTTAACCATCTCTCGCATGTGGTTCTCTCTCCTTCCATTTGTAATATTTAAAAATTTCGTTTGTTTGTAATATTTTGGTGATGGTGAATTGTTATATGATAATAGTGTCCGTGAAATAGATGATATTTTGTTGAATCTCGTAAATTTAGTGTGTCATCTCTGTTATTTGGTTTGTTTGTTTAATATTGATTTTTTTTATTGTATCTCAATATTCAATAGCTTGACGGATTTGTCTTTTGCCCATTTTAGTAGTTTTAATATTAACATTTCAATTTAGTTTTAAGTTATATTTGTGTGGAAAATTGCTTGATTTCTCCAATAATTAGTATTAGAGCCTGGATAATGGTTGTCAAAATTGTTTTTTTAAATCTTTGACAATTTATGATTTTTTAAAAGAAGATATGGTTAGAGAAATTATCACCAATATTTTATTTAGGGTGTGTTCATATACCAAAAAAAATATTTTTTGAAAAAATTATCAAAACCCTAAACCATAAAAAAAAACTAAAAAATAAGAAAAAAGGGGGTAAATTATGCGTTTAGTACTTAAGCTATCAATTTTGATTCATATTAGCACCTAAACCTTCAATTTTTTCAAAACATAACTAAAGGTTAGTTTTTGTTTCTTTTTAGAATCTTGTTTAAAATTTAATGTTAATTTTTGGGGGGAAAATGAAAGTGTAGGTACTAAAATGGATGAAAACTGATAATTTTGTTATTAAACGCATTGAGTTTTAACGGTGGAGTATTAAAATATAACAAAAACTAAACATTAGAGATGATTTTGAAAATATTGAAAGTTTAGTTACTAAAACAAACTAAAACTGATAGTTCAAGTACTAATGCGTAGTTTACCCGAAAATAGTGAGCGTGGCCTATTGTCTAATGAGCTTAAAATAACCAAACGACATCGTATAGAAATCAAAATTATACACAAAGGTGCAAATGACACCGCTTGGAAAATAAATAATTAAAATGGCCTAAAACAAACAAAATTGATAATTTAAGTACTAAATGCGTAGTTTACCCGAAAATAGTGAGCGTGGCCTATTGTCTAATGAGCTTAAAATAACCAAACGACATCGAATAGAAATCAAAATTATACACAAAGGTGCAAACGACATCGCTTGGAAAAGAAATAATTAAAATAGCCCATGCAGGTTTCGAACCTGCGACCTTCGCGTTATTAGCACGACGCTCTAACCAACTAAGCTAATAGGCCATTGATGCAATTATGAAAACGTTTCATTTACATCTTTATACCAAGCTGCTAAAATACTAAAGTATTAAAATTATTTAATTTACATCCATATTTGTTGAAAACATTTTGATGTTTCGATATAACAAATTAAGATAAAAGAATTTTAAGATTTTACAAATGATTTTCTAAGTATATTAGATATAATTACTCGAATATCAAAATATTACTCCAAGCCTTTCAAAGTTTAATTTCAATCCTTACTAAAGTATAAAATTGTGTTTTACACTTAAAATATTTTTGAAACAATTTTCACAAAGTATTTCGAACAAAAAACAAACCAAAAATCAATTTTATGAAGGGATGTACCGATGCATTAATTTGATGCATCGATGCACACCCATTTCGAATGCATTTTATGCACCGATGCACAACCATACATCGATGCACTCATGATTTTATTAAAACATCGAATTGATTTTGTGCACCGATGCACAAGTCATGCATCGATGCACCCCAACTATTTTTGAAACATCGGAGCAAATTTGTGCACCGATGCATACCCTAGTGTACCAATGCACTAAGTCTTCCAACGGTCAAAATATTTGAATTTTACACATAGTGTACCGATGCACAAAGCCTATGCATCGATGCACCATACGCTCTAAACTATTTTATTAATTTTTTTCACATACTAACGACTCTATTAACTCCACTAATGATCCCCAACGTTCATAAATGATCCAAGGAGAATTTAAACAAGCTTAGAAGCCATTGATCAACATAATTATCAAGAATCAAGAGAGAATCAAAGAGAAAGCATCAAACCTCAAGTTTGAGCATTTTCAAGCCTATTCCATTCAATATTCATTTTTGCTTTCAAGAACACTTATTGTGCTCAATTGTATTATTCTTGAGTGTTATTTCTTTGTTCTAGAATTGTGCAAACATCTTTCTTTGTGAGGATTTTCTTGTAAGTTTGCAAAATTTGTATTGTTCTCTTTGGGAGATAGTGTTCTCAAGAATTTGGGGTATAGTTTTTTAGGGATTTGTAAGGTTACTCTTTGTCCTCAAAAGAAAGACAAATTAGTGAATTTATGGAAAATCCTTAGTGTGGATAGCTAAGGTAGTAGACATAGAATTTGGTTGAGAAAGTCGAACCACTTTAAATTGCTGTGTAAATATTTTCAATTTTCTGTAAAAGCTTCCACCGAAATTTTTATTGCCAATTCACCCCCTCTTGGCCTATTCCGTCGATCAATTAACTCAACAATTGCTATCAGAGCCTCACTCATTTGAAGGTTTATACATCGATAATCAAGTCATCAATGGCCTCTACTTCAAACTCTGACTTCGGTCTTGATTCATTGCCCGTCAACAAGCCTCCTTTCTTCAATGGAGCTAATTATGCTTATTGGAAGAATATGATTATGTATTTCATTCAAGCAAGTGACATGGGAGCATGAAATATTATAGAAGATGGATACATCAAACCTTCCACTCATCCAAGATTGTGGAGTGAAGAAGAGACAAGAATGTTCCAGCTCAACTCCATAGCTATCCATATTATTTTTTGTGCTCTTGGACTGGATGAATACAAAAGAGTTTCATCTTGTACAACTGCCAAAGAGATATGAGATAAACTACAAGTCACTCATGAAGGTACAAACGAGGTAAAAGAATCTAAAATTAGTCTTATAACTCATAGCTATGTTTCAGGATGAAACTGGATGAAGATATCAAAGCTATGACAGATAGATTTTCCACGATTGTCAATGGTCTCAAATCATTTGGAGAGATCATTCCAAATGAGAAGCTTGTGAGGAAGTTAGTTTACTCTCTTCCAAAATCTTGACAATCAAAGAAGACGGCTATCATCGAGGCTAATAACTTAAAATCCTTAACTCTCGATGAGCTTATTGGTTCTATTCTCACTCATGAAATGATGATTCAAGATGAGATAGATCTCGAAAAGACGGACGAGATAAAGAAAGAGACGGAGAAGAAGAATAACGTGGGAGTTTCTCTCAAATCCACAAAAGATGAGAGTGATTCGGATGAAGATGACAATGACGAGGAGATGGCATTATTTGCCAAACAGTTCAGAAAATTGATGAGGCCCAACCGAGGAAGAAAATTCAAACGTAATGAAGGCTTCAAAAATGAACCAAAGGAGAAAGACCCTATTATTTGCTATGAGTACAAAAAGCCGGATCATGTAAAATATGAGTGCCCTCTATTGAAGAAAAATGGTCAATCAAAGAAGAAGCTCAAGGCTCATGTGACTACATGGAGCGATGAAGAAGGTTCCGATGAAGAGGAACAAGAAGTTGCAAACTTGTGCTTGATGGCCATCGGGGAAAACTCTCAGGTAACCTCTAACTCATTTGATTTAGATGATTTATCTTATGATGAGTTATTAGAGGATTATAATGGGTTGGCTTTGGATTATAAGACTTTATTTTCAAAATATAAAAATGTTATTTCAAAATTAAAAAATGAAAATAGTCTTATGTCTAAAACCAACAATGATCTTGAAAGTAAGGTCAAAGAATTGTAAATCAAACTAGAAGAGTTTGAAAAGAAAAATTTTGATTTGCAAAATTTACTTTCAAAGGTCAATGATGATCATCAAAAGAAAGTTGATGATCTTAAAGCTTCTTTTGATAAAGTTGGAACAAAACGTTTTGAAAATGGAGAAAGTTCAAAATCCAACTTTGTTAGTGTTGAGTTAATCGATTGATGGAATCGGCTAAGAGGGGGGTGAATTGGCAATAAAAATTTTGGTGGAAGCTTTTGCAAAAAAATTGATAATAAATGCACAGCGATTTAGAGTGGTTCGACTTTCTCAATCAAAGTCTACGTCCACTACCTTAGCTATCCACACTAAAGATTTTCCACAAATTCACTAATTTGTCTTTCTTTTGAGGACAAAGAGTAACCTTACAAACCCTCAAGAATTATACCCCAAATTCTTGAGAACACTCTCTCCCAAAGAGAACAATGCAAATTTTGCAAACTTACAAGGAAATCCTCACAAGGTAGATTGTTTGTACAATTCTAGAACAAAGAAAAGAACACTAAAAAATGAATACAATTGAGCACAATAAGTGTTCTTGAACGCAAAATGAATATTGAATGAAAAATAGACTTGAAATGCTCAAACTTGAGGTTTGATGCTTTCTCTTTGATTCTCTCTTGATTCTAGTTGCTTGATATTTCTTGTTGTTGATCAATGGCTTCTAAGCTTGCTTAAATACACCTTGAATCACTTTTGAACGTTGGGGATGATTAGAGAAGATAATATAGCCGTTTTAGTGTGAAAACAATTAATAAAACAACTTGGAGCGTGGGGGGAATCGGTACCCCCTATGAGGAATCGGTTCCCTAAGTGTAAAATTCAAATATTTTGACCGTTACACAGGGGGGAATCGGTACCCCTTGGGGGGAATCGGTTCCCTCCGAGCATACTGGAATTCTCGGAGCCAAACCATTAAGGGGGGAATCGGTTCCCTCTGAGCAATCTGGAATTTTTGGCTTTGAAATGGTTCGAAATACTTTGTAAAATTATTTTGAAATTGTTTTAAGATTAAAACTTAATTTACACTTGAGTAAGGATTAAAAATGATTTTTGAAAGATTTAGAGTAATGTTTTGATATTCGAATAATTATATCGAATATACTTTTGATTTCACAATCTTA